GGGGGGGTGGGACTGACAGGAGTGAAGGAGTGTGACAGGATGGGTCCTGCGGTCAGCAGGAGAGGGTGCTGGGTGAGCCTGTCCTGGCCCTGTGGTCAGCCCTGGCCCTGGCCCTGTGGTCAGCCCTGGTGTGTGCACTGTGATGAGGTTGAGGGACAGCACAAGGCAGGGTGGGAGGCTTCCCTGCAGTGGGACAAAGGGGGACTGTGGGGGGCTGAAGTGGGGAGTTTATAGGGATAGTGCGCAGGCCAGGGCACCTCAACTGGAAGAGGGGTCAGTATGGGGGAGGGGCTGGGGACCAAGCTGAGGGAAGCCCCTCGAGATCCACAAGTCACGGTCTCTGGTTCCTTCTGAGTCTCACGGGAGGCTTCTAGGACTGCATGAAGGTGTTCCTGCACCCACCCGGCCTGCCGGGGGGTGTGGCGAGGCCTGGGGTGGGCAGGCCGGCACCTCACTTCTCCAGGGGCCCCCTGAGCAGGGAGATCCTGCTTTCCGCAGCTGCAGGCGCCCAACGCAGCCCTCTCTCCTCTTCCCCGAGGTGGGAGAGGTGGGGCTGGCTGGACTCTGTGAGTTGGCCACAGACCTGCGCAGTCAATGAGTGCCCGTCTCCCCGGTACCCCAGCAGCGCTGGCACAGAGCCTGTGGCACTCTTGGGGCACATTTTAGGTCTGGCTGCAGACTCTTCCCCACAGTTGCACCAGCAGACACTCAGATCACCAGCAGGACCATGGCCCACGCCCCTGTGGCCAGCTGGTGATGCCGGCCGCCTCCGGGCCTGGTCCCTTCCAGCGCGGTCTGCTCCTGCCCGACTCAGACGCAAACTCCAGGGCCCCTCTGTCCTGTCCTACGGTTTTGAAGGAAGGTTTCTATAAAGGCAATGGCAGGGCTCGGCTGCACACACTCTGCCTGTTTCCTGCATCTCCTTGGACTTCACTCTCCCCTTTGCTCTCAAGCTTTTGGACGCCTTCTGTGCCTTGAAGGGTAGCTAACAGAAGCCATCCCCACCCCCCCAGGGTTAGATGGAGACATGCTGCACAGAGCTGGCCCTTATTCCTGTCCTCTGTTCCTTTAAGTTTAGGTCTGGGGGTGCCACAGCCCCAGCCTCAGGGCACCGTCCGCTGGGCGCACCTGGGGCAGGAGGGTGGGGCTGAGGCACACTGCTCAGCACCTGCGACTTGGGGTCCCTGAGCTCCTGTTTCTGTCCTCACACCTGCCCGCCACTTCCTAGGACAGAAGCCCATAGGCTGCCTCTGGCTGTCCTAAGCAAGCTTCCCCTGAGCTGCTTGTGTGTTGCATGTCCTTTTTCTGTGCCCCTCCTCTGCTGTGGCCCCTCCTCTGCTGTGGCCCCTCCTCTGCTGTGGCCCCTCCTCTGCTGTGGCCCCTCCTCTGCTGTGACCCCTCCTCTCCTGTGACCCCTCCTCTGCTGTGTCCCCTCCTCTGCTGTGACTCCTCCTCTCCTGTGACCCCTCCTCTGCTGTGTCCCCTCCTCTGCTGTGTCCCCTCCTCTCCTGTGGCCCCTCCTCTCCTGTGACCCCTCCTCTGCTGTGTCCCCTCCTCTGCTGTGACCCCTCCTCTCCTGTG